CGATGATCTTAAAGCTCTTTTCCAACCCAGGTGATTCTGTGATGAGCTCTGGGCACAGCCTGGCTCCCCTCCTGGTGAGGGTGTCACGTGCTCAATCAGCAATCAAGGAATGTTTGGGATTGAGATAAACTGCAGCGATGCAGTTTCAAGCCCTCAGCTAATGAGCAATTAACCTGGCACCTCTTCCCAGCAGCCTTTGGATTGAATAAAATCCAAAATACCCTTATTCGAAGAGGAGGGCAGCAGCCTTCTTCCCCTTGATGAGATGAGTATTGAACATCAAGGGCAAGTGATCACTGATAATGATGGTGGATGAGAGTCTCCAGTTGCCAAGCCCAATAAGAAGGACTAGACTGAGGTCTTGTAGCTCAGACTCTGAGCGAGGGAATGGAGAGAGCTGAATTCCCTTCCCAGCCCTGTGCCTACATCACTGCAGTGACTCGTTGACTCACCGACCTTCAGCTTGCCTTTCCATCCCAGCTTCACCACCAGAAAAACGAGGGCAGAATGCTTCTCTGAAGTACTTTGTGGTTTTTAGAGCTGAGAGATGTTAGATGAAAGCAAACAATGTTTTTTTTTCTTTAAACATTGCTCAATAAGTAACAGGCTAAGTCCTGTTTTGAGCCTGATTCCCAGGAGCAGAGGGCATTACCCAAGGAGCAACCACAGCATTGGCTGGTTCACCCCATGTTACTGACTCAGCAATCAGCAGCAGCTTTCCACTCACTGACATGAATGTTCTTCTGCCCCAGGTCCTGATTTTTTTAAGAATAGTTTAGATGAATCAGCTGGGCATGAGCACCTCTGAGTGGGTGATGCCTCCCACCATCTCAGCCACGTTGTACCAGGTTCAACACATCTTTGCTCCGTGTCAAACCCTACATTGTAAAAGGGCCCAAAATGGCTGTTCTGGCTCCTGAAGGACCCCACTTGTGTGCCAGGGGATGGGAGAAACCAGTTAGAGAAGAAGATATGACTCCTGGAGAACATCCAGATTGTTCTAGGCAGCAGCTATTAAAATACCAAAATCTGAACTCGGCCGTGTTTTGGTCCAGAGGGTAAAATGATCCTGGCTGGTTACTAGAAAGAAGCTGGGAGAAAAAAAATCCATGTGGATGCAGTCACCAAAAGGTCCCTGGTTTACCAACGGAAGGGACAAGGGCAGCATCTGCCACCCCACGTTGCCATCCTGTGCAGTAACATCTCTTTGCGCCGCAGGCTCTGAGCCACTGTCCCTTTTGTGCAGGATCCTGGATTTCCGGAGGGTGCCACCCACAGTTGGGAGGTTAATCAATATCACCAAGGAGATCCTGGAGGTCACCAAGAATGAGATCCTGCAGAGTGTCTTTTTTGTCTCACCAGGTAGGCAAACACTTGGCTGCCACAAGCTGGGATTAGATGTGTTGGTCCATGTGGATGGAAGAGCAGGGTCTGCATGCAAAAGGTGCTGGTAGGACTTGTGCTGTTGAGGAGAAATTAAATTATTGGGTGAAACACGCACAAAGACATGGTTACAGTGGAGATGTCCCTCAGCCTCCAGCTGGAATCATCTGCCAGACCTACTTGCCTGCCCAATTTTCCCCAATCTTTCCTCTAGCATGGGACCAGCTCTGTCCATCAGCCAAAATCCAGGTATTATCCATGATTTGGTGGTTTCACATCCATGATGTGGTTACATACACCACAATATAGGCAGTCACCACCCCACGATGGGGAAGAGGTCAGTCCAAGCCACCTTGCAGTCTCCTGTGGATCATAACTCCTTTCTCCATTCTCTTCTCCTCCCAGCCAGCAACGTTTGCTTCTTTGCCAAGTGCCCGTACATGTGCAAGACGGAGTACGCGGTGTGTGGGAACCCTCACCTCCTGGAAGGGTCCCTCTCTGCCTTCCTGCCATCCCTCAACCTGGCACCACGACTCTCCATCCCAAACCCATGGATCCGGTCCTACTCGTTTGATGGAAAAGAGGAGTAAGTGGGTAAATGATGCTGCTTCCCATATCTGCATTGCAGGGAGCACGTGGGAAGGAGGATGAGCAGGGTACAGACACACAGACACACGTTGGTAGGACAAGAGGAAATGGCCTCAAGTTGGACCAAGGGCAGTTGAGATGGGATGTGAGGAAGAATTTCTTTGCTGAAAGGGTTCTGAGGCATTGGAAGGGGTTGCCCAGGGCAGTGGTGGAGTCCCCATCCCTGGAGGGATTGAAGAGTCGTGTAGACATAGTGCTGAGGGACATGGGTTAGTCGGGGACTTGTCAGTGTTGGGTTCATGGTTGGACTCCACCAGCTTAAAGGGCTTTTCCAGTCGAGGCCATTCTGGGATTTTGTACAGAATTTGTATGTCCAGGCAGGAGAAGTCCAAGGTTCAGAGGTTGCCCATAATTAGGCAAATAACCCTTAATGCCTGGGCATTGGCTGGGCTTGACTCCTACACAAGGATGGAGATTCTTCCTCTCCATCTCCACACAGGAGACCAGCTTTAGGGTGCTGGTGGGACACAGCCACAGCAAACACTGAGTGCATCTCCTTCTTCTCCTCCATGTCCTGCAGGTGGGAAGTGAATCCACTCTACTGCAACACGGTGAGGGAGATCTACCCCTACAGCAACGGCAACCGGCTGCTTAACATCGTTGACATGGCCATATTTGACTTCCTAATAGGTATGACGAAGGGGGAAATAACATCCCTTCCATTCATGTGGGGCCTTCAGCATCAGTCTGTCTGTCCCCCCACACCACAGTGTTTCTCAGAGCCATCCCTTCTGCTCCCTGGACAGTTTTGGGAGATTGCTGTCTCCCCCCAGCCAGCAGAACCCCTCCTGATATGCAGGCAAGGCTGGAGACCCCAGGCCCCCCCCATCCCCCTCCCCAGGGCGTGTCCAGCAAGATGAAAACAGCAGCTCTAAGCATCTTGGACACTTCCAGCAAGGCAACAAGTATTTCATGCAGATCTGAAAGAAAACATAGGATAGTTCATGTGCAGGAGAAACTCTGTTCCTCTGCCTTTTACCAGGGAACATGGACCGTCACCACTATGAGATGTTCACCAAGTTTGGGGACGATGGCTTCCTCTTACACCTGGACAACGCCAGAGGGTGAGGCTGTGGGAGGACGCTGGGGAGGGAGGAAGGTGTTGGGTAGGCACTAAAGCTCTGTGCTCTCTGCTTACCCCACCAGGTTTGGGCGACATTCCCATGATGAAATCTCCATCCTGGCCCCACTCTCCCAGTGTTGCATGTAAGTACCAGCTTCACCTTCCCAGATACGTTGGTGTTCCCACCATAACGGGCTGGCAGCGCTTGCTGCTGGAAGTCACCCAGGCTTGGTTCCATCTAGCAGCACAGGGAAGACCTCCTGCTAATCCCAGACACCAGAGCATGGGAATCACAAGTTATCCCTGAAATATGGATGAAGTTTTTCTATCAGTTAGAGAACTGAGCTCGGATGTGCTGCAGCCTACTACGGTGTCACACAACTGTCCTTCCTGGATCCTTTCCCATTGAAGCTAAAAGGCTTTGTAAGTGTAAAAGCTTTCACTGACAGACCAGAAGACACTGTCCATTGGATCAAACTCTTCCAAAAGGGTCTCCTAGTACTTCCAAACCCATCAACACAAGGTGCTTATCAGCCCCATTTATCTGACATGAAGCTCAGAAATCTCCATCCAAAAGCCTGGTAGAACTTGGATACAGTTAATGAGTTAATCCAACAGGACAAGAGGAAATGGCCTCAGGCTGCACCAGGGGAGATTTAGATTGGACATTAGAGGAGAAATTTCTTCACCAAAAGGATTGCCAAGTATTAGAACAGGCTGCTCAGGGAAGTGGTGGGAACCACAGCTTCTCTGGGCAACCTGGGCCAGTGTCTGACCACCTTCACAGTGAAGAATTTCTTCCTAATATCTCATCTAAACCTCCCCTCTGCCAGTTTAGAGCCATTTCCCCTGGTTCTGTCATTAACTGCCCTTAGGAAAAGTCTTCTCAGCTGATGAAGTCCCCGGGTCAAATCTTCAACAATTTGGTACAACAGCAGAGTCACAACTTCCCCGCGGGAGAGGAGCGGGGCTGGCGGCAGGATCTCCATCTCACACTCCTCTCCACGTTCTGCCTGTTTCTTATGTAACTGTTAGAGCATGAAACCAGCCATTCCCCACGGGGTCACACTATCCTGTCCTCCACCTCCAAGCCCCATCACTGCTCAGACCAGAGCAAACACAGCTGGTGTTTACCCACAGCAGCTCCTCGGTTGGTCAGCCCTTGCTTAGGAGAGCTCACACACACGCTCCTTTGCTGCCGTTCACATCTGCTCTGTATGAAGTTCTCCCTGAGAGCAGCAGCAGAACCTCGTAGCCATGCTCCAGCAGTGCTTTAAAGCCTCATTGCTGGGCTTAGCACTTGGCTAATTAATTTATTTTTTGGAGGAATATTAATGCAAACCTGGCACTGGGCAGCCAGGACAATGACCACAGTTCAAGTCACCTGTCCCCGTGCCAGCGACTGGTCACAGCACCTTTCTCCCTCACAGAATCACCCAGATTGGAAAAGAGCTTTGAGATCATCGAGTCCA